TGCACCGGGCCCCTAGTATAGATTATAAATGAAAAAAGAGTATCACGTTAATGTTAAATTTCTTGATTTTGATAAATGTCCTTATTCTCAGGAATTCCACACTTAAGTATTTAGGGTAAGAGAAGTGTGATATAAGCAACTTAATCTCAAATGACTTGGGGGGTGGGGGGGGGTGGAATGAGTATACAAACAGAGAATAAAGAGGGAGTGGGGGAAACGAAAAAGCAAATCTGGTAAAATGTTAACCAGGGGTTAATTGGGATGAAAGCTGCACAGGAGTTCTTTGTCCTATTCCTGTAACTTTTTGAAAATTTGAAATGATTTCAGAATAAAGTTACAAAAAAGTATATCTGTGCAATGATTACAACTACAAGAATGTTGTATCCTTGCCAAAAGGTAGGAAAGGCTGCCTGACAATGAAAATACCTCATTTGAATGGGCCAGATGGTGGGTGACACTTTCTCCTCATTAAAGAGAAGTGCCGATGTCAATTATGTTACTTGAGTCACACAAAAATTCAACAATAACCAAATAACCCTACAGGAAAAGTAATCATTCGGTGGCAAGTGGAGGGGCTTCTGAAGACATGAGACATATGGTTAAGTTACTCCTGGCGTTACCTGCTGCCCAAGGAGATGTATACAGAGGTGACTCTAGAAATGGGTGGGGTTTTTTAGATCCCTATCATGCCCATTTCTGGGCAAAGACATACCTTCATAATAGCTTCGTTGATCAAGTTCTCGCTGATGATTGTGGCAGTTCCCAAGCTGGAGTTAGCAATCTTGGTGGCTGTCGTGTTCATTGGCTTCACAAGATGAGGTCTAAAGAGAAGGGAGAAAGGATCCTTAGCGCTTTCTGTAACGGGAAAGCTGAGAAACTGCCCGTCTCAAAGATGGCAGCCAGCCAGAGAGACGAGGGCGAAGAGTGGTGACGCGCCATTCACATCTCCGCTCTAACACATGCGAATGTTCCTGTAGAAAGGAAAGCAGTCAGCTCCAGGCAGCCAAATGCAAGCCAACAACGCACACCCTTCGAGCCAGGAGTCCTGACATTCTCACAAGCCCCTGTCCTCGTTCTCAACGTCAGGAGAACATTAAAGGCAGGCTCTTATTTTTTGGAGGCAGCGAGAGCCTAGGACTCCACTGTGGGAGCCCTTGCAAAGCCTTCTGTTCTTCAGCAGTAAAGAAAGAGTTCAGAACAAACATGCCAGCTTCACACTGAGCGGTGGAACTTTAAAACACTGCTTGGTTCTGCCGCTCAATCTCAGTCGGCTTCTGAGACCATTAAGATACTCATCACAGTGCATCTCCGCTACTTTAGAGCTCCAAATCTGTGCAGAATCATTCCTAAACTATTTTTGAAGACTACCACTACATTCTCGCTACCAACACAGGAGTGTTCTTAGGTGTTCCCACCACAGCAGATAGCCCTTATAAAATAGGCCCTACCAGCAAAATAGGTGGGTTGCACCGTCAGAACATCTGTGCGGTTAGAAAGCCATAACCACCTCTGCAGGCAAAAAGCAAAGGGGACATCGCTCAAGTTTACGAAGACAATCTCCCCAGACTCTCACCTGTGCTTGGCTGACCCAGTTCCAGCTGAGACTGGATGTGTCTCCGAGGGTGAGACCCAGGCCTGAAGAAGCGGCTTCCTCTTGCCAGAATTTTCCACTTTACCAGGGAGGCCCTCTGCTGTTGCTTTTTTTTGAGATTCTGCGGTACTGGTGTGGGGAGTGTCAGAGTGTGGGTAGCTAGGGGAAGAGTGTGTGGCAGGAGAGGGCTCAGAAAAGGAGGGGCTGGACAGAGGAGAATCCAGGGCCGGGTCAGGAGGCTGCCTTAGCCTCCCATTTCCCATCACTTTTGCCTCCTCGCCATCGCCAGGGCCTGGCAGCTGGGTGTCCAAGCGTGAGCTCTTGCCGAGACTTGGTTTAAGAATTCCTGAAGTTGTAGTGTGCTCTGAAGAAGCCCTGACAGCTGCTTCCGGTGCTCCTGACCTGAGCTCACGCAGGCTGTCTGCGGGCACCGCCGACCCACCTGCCTCGCCACTCGGCGCCTTCTCGGGACGGGCAGGTGACCTGCTCGGGGAAGAAGCTCCTTCCAGAGCCGCCACCTTGGCTGCCTCTCTGTCATCTTCCACCTCGTCCACTCTTTCATCATCCGATGTCACTTCAGGAATGGAAGGAAGGGTTAAGTCCAGGTCAGCCGTGACTGGAGATTTAACATCTGAGGCAGACTGAAGGTCACCCAGGGGATCAGACAACAGGCCTTCGTGATCACTGGCTTTGCTCTGATTTTGAGCCAGAAGGGTATCGTCTCCCTCCATGCCTTGCCCCGAGCTGGCTTCACTCCCTGGGCCTTCTGAGTCACTGTCCTCATGGGAGGGGGGCAGCAGGTGACTGGCCATGGCAGCCGGCAGGCCGGAATTCAGCGGCCGGGGCTCAGTCACAGCCTCCCCCTCGGAGTCTTCTGCGTGGGGACGCTCAGCAGGCTCTCTATCACACACGTCGCCGGTGGCAGCCCCTTCACGCCCCAGCTCCTGGGGATGACTTTCGTCCTCTCCGACCAGTCCAGGGGACTTCTCCGCCTCCTCTTCCCTAAACAGCTGCTCAGAAAATGACACATGCTTCTTGATCTTCTTTGGGCCCTCACTGCCATTCAGACCCATCTCTTCGTGTCTTCGCATGGTGGAGTTAAGTGGGAGGACCGGTTCTCCCATTCGAAGAGGGGGTACCGCCTGTTTGATTGTGGCAGTCATTTCCCCACCCCTCACTCTGTCCTCCTCAAAAAACCCAGACCGACTCTCCAAGTCTGTCTTTACCCCCATTGGAGGCTTCCCAGCCGGGCCTCCCATCCTGCCGCTTCTCACTGAAAGGGCCAATGCTACTTCTGGGGCCCCTTCTGACGAAGGGGGGTAGTCTTGTTGCTTTTTGGGGGGAAACCTTGGAGGTTCTTCTTGCTGCCCCAGTTCAGGCTGCTTCGGGGGACACTGTGCTGAGTCATCGCCACTGGTAGCCTTCTCTGTGTCCGCCTCCTTCAGGGAACACTGTGCTGAGTCATCGCCACTAGTATCCTTCTCTGTGTCCGCCTCCTTCGGGGGACACTGTGCTGAGTCATTGCCACTGGTATCCTCCTCTGTGTCCACCTCCTTCGGGGAACACTGTGCTGAGTCATCGCCACTGGTAGCCTCCTCTGTGTCCACCTCCTTCGGGGGACACTGTGCTGAGTCATCGCCACTGGTATCTTTCTCTGTGCCCGTCTCGCTGGTCTTCCCCGCTGGAGCCTCCTCCGTCCCTTTCCACAGCGCCGTGGGTGGCTGTTTGGGAAGTGAGCCCCGGGCACAAGAAACAGCACTTGGAACTTGTGTTAAACTCTCCTTTTGCACCTCTGCGTCAAGGGGCACCGATGGTTCCTCGGCACCTGCCTGGCCCTGCTCGGGGGAAGGCCAGCTTGTGATAGGCGTGGATGTGGAAATGGGAGCTGCAAGGGGCGGGGAGAAAGCGGAGAAGACAGAAGGAGATTCTGAGGACTGTGTCTCTGCCTCACGCCCCGACTCAGGAGAGACAGGTGTCTGAGCGGGACTGGAAGGGAGAGCAGGAAAAAAGGGAAAGGAGTCAGGGGGAGGAGGAAGCCTGGCTGTGGGTTGAACCTCTGGAGACACTTCCAGTCTGCAAAAAGGACAAAATAAAATCTGCCGGTCAGTTGCAAATGCTGCATGAGAGGCGAAAAAACATGTAAAAGTAAAGTCGTCCAAAGGGGAGAACTTACTGTTATATGTGGGGCAGTACCTTAAGAAGTTAAAAAAGGAACATACCAATACTTAATGTACAAAAGGGACACTTCATCACCGAGCACACCTGCCACACAAAGGACTTTACAACAGGAACAGAAAGATCCAGGTAAAGCGACAGCCCACAGTTGTTGTTTTTATATTTTTATTGATTTCAGAGAGGAAGGGCGAGGGAAGAGAGAGATAGAAACATCAATGATGAGAATCATTGATCAGCTGCCTCTTCCTACTGGGGATTGAGCCCGCAACCCAGGTATGTGCCCTTGACCAGAATTGAACCGGGACCCTTCCGTCCGCAGGTCAACGCTCTATCCATTGAGACAAACCCGGTAGGGCAGCCCACAGTTCCTTTTGGTGACACACAGAAAGCATCTAGAAAGTTCAAAGCAGTAAAAGATCCACCACAGGGCAACACGCACACATTTTGAAGAGCAACCGTCTCTGCATGTCTGTGTGTGTCTGTGAAATCACAGTAAGCAGAATCTCAAATACAAGCCTCTCCCAACCCAGACCACAGAAACACTGCGAGTGAATGAGCCATGCTGACAAGCAGAAACCCCCAGGCTCTTGCAACAAGACGCAGAGTAAACACGCGGAGAACTGTCACAGGAGTGTGACCAAGGGTCTCTCATGACAGCAAAGTGTGCAAGGAGGAGAGATAACATCAGCCTCGAAGGGAGAGGTGTGAAGAACTTACACCCAGGCCTGCACATACCACAACTGAAACCTGGTGTTCCCAACATGCAACACTCAGAATCTGCTACACCCACGGCATTCCCCTGGGTCTGCATATCACACATGAGGGGCCAAGACTCACCGAGGTTTCACGGCTTTGGTCTGGGGCGCCCTGGCAGAGGTAACAGGTGGTGTCCGTTCAGACTTGGGCTCTGGGTCAGCCGCCGGTTCTGTGCTCTGCCCTTCTTCAAAGGGGTTCAGGGATTTCCCCCGTCCGGAGACAGCGGCCATCGTATCCTTCTCAGATCTCTTCCCAAGACCCTCAGCAGGCCCCGGCCCGTCCTCCCGCAGCGGGCCCTCCTGCTCCTTCCCGGAGGTGGAAGCAGGGCTTTCACCTTCACTGCCCTTGGCCGCATCCTTCTTTCCTGTCACCAGAGAGAGCAAAGAGGACTTCTTGTTCTCATGCTTCTTACTCTCTTTGGATTCTTTCCCGGCCTCCAACTTCGCTGGAGCTGTGTTTTCCCTAATGTCCCCGCTGACCGGCGGCCAGGAGGGCGGCAGGGTCATGGATTTCGGAGAGGTCTTTGTGGAAGACTCAGAGAGCCACTTGTCAGGAGACACAGCACCCCCTTCCCCGGGTTCCTTCCAGGACCGAGGAGACAGGTTTTCCGTGGAGGAGAACAAATGCTTCTTCCTGAAGCCCTGAGGGGACGGGGAAGAGGAGGTGCTGTCCTTCGTCTCAGACTTGCCTTCTGGCTGCTCCACGTAAACATGGTTCCCGTTGATACAGACATTAGAGCGGGAGAGCGAGTCGTTGTTGGACCGAAGGCCGCCAAGAAAAGAGAGCCCTTCCTTCTTGGGAAGGGTGAGGTTGACCTGGTTCAGTTGCTTAGGATCTGCGCCTGCTGTTCTCTTGTGAGACATGACTGTGGGAAGGAAAACAAAGGCAAAAGGGAATAACGAGTTAAACGACTGGCCCACAACTGGAGGGAGAAGGATTTTGTCGGTGCCTGAATACATTCTCGGTTGTCACAGGCAGAGGCCAGGATGTTCCCAAAGATCATACAATGCATGGGACAGCCCCCCACAACAAAGAATGATCTGGCCCAAACTATGAGCAGTGCTAAGGTTGAGAAACCCTGCATTTAATCCATGAAAAGGGCAGCACTTTTGGTAGAGTAACAGAATCTGGCCAACAGTAGGGATTTGATCATTGAAATTGCAGCTCAAAATACACAGTTAATTCAAACTAAAGGGAACTGGATTTTCCTCAGCTTTCATTATGGATTTATCCCATGAGGTTTAGTACAACAATAGTTCAATAAATGCCTGATGAATTAATGAAATGTCACTAATGTTCCATGGTTTAACCTTAAATTTAAAAAAACAAAAACCTGCCCGGCTGGTGTGGCTCAGTAATTGAACATTGACCTATGAACCAGGAGGTCACAGTTTGATTCCCAGTCAGGGCACATGCCCAGGTTGTGGGCTCGACCCCCAGTAGGGGGCGTGCAGGAAGCAGATGATCAATGATTCTCTCTCATCACTGATGTTTCTATCTCTCTCTCCCTCTCTCTTCCTCTCTGAAATCAATAAAAATATATATTTTTTAAAAATTAAAAAAATAAAAACACAAAACAAACCTGGATGCATTCATGTTGTTCGATCTAGACCAGTGGTTCTCAACCTTCCTAATGCCGCGACCCTTTAATACAGCTCCTCATGTTGTGGTGACCCCCAACCATAAAATTATTTTCGTTGCTACTTCATAACTGTAATTTTGCTACTGTTATGAACCGTAATGTAAATATCTGATATGCAGGATGTATTTTCATTGTTACAAATTGAACATAATTAAAGCATAGTGATTAATCACAAAAACAATATGTAATTATATATGTGTTTTCCGGTGGTCTTAGGCGACCCCTGTGAAAGGGTCATTCGACCCCCAAAGGGGTCGCCACCCACAGGTTGAGAACCGCTGATCTAGATGCTTGTACTAATGTACATCAGTTATAGAACCAGACATTTTGGAAAAGGAATTTACACATTCTTAGAAACCAGAGGGCTTAGAAATAGAGAATGCGTCCTGACCAAGATAATCCATCACCACCACCACCACCACCACCATCATTTTAGTAACTGAGAATCTGAATTAAAATCTTTCCCGTAAGATTGGTGTGTTTTTTCTCTCTAAAGCAGAGTAAGTTAAGCTGAGGGGAAGAGGCCAAGTAGGAAGGAGGTGGGCACTCACTGTCCGAGGCAGAGGAGGACTCATCCTCGTCATCATCCTCCCACCGGGACTGAAACTCCCCAGGACGCAGCAGCACTTTGTCTGACTTTGGAGTAGGCAGGACAGACATGGACTGGGAAAGCGGTGTTTTCTGCAAGTTAGACTTGGAAAACAAGGTCTTGATCTTTGACTTCTTTTTCTTGTCTTTCGAAGGTGACTCATCGTCGCTGTCGACAGAGGGTGATGTGCTGGGGAGGATGGCTGAAGCGGTGTCGGATGCACTATCCTTATTCTTCCCCCTGATCTTGTCCTTCAGTTTCCCAAACGGATTCCGAGACTTGTCTTTCACGGACAGGTCAAACATGCTAGCAGTCATGTTGTTTCTCATAAACTGGATGTCAACCTCGATTTCTCCTCGCTCTTTATCCTTCTTTCCTGGTTTGGACTTCAGGGTGTACCACCTACAAGGAGAAGGCTGAGAGGTTAGCTTTGAACTGAAGAGCCTAAGACAACATTCACAATCCTAATAACTGGCCCCTCCTCTCCGCTGTTACCAACCTCTTATACACACGTATTCTTATGCTCTCTTCTTTGGGGAGTAAAGGGTGGGGGAGGGGATAAAGACAGAACTTGTTTTATTTTTGAGAAGCCACCCACCAGGCAAAGATAGGATCTGATTCTGTACTCGGTATAGCATCACCTAAAATCTTCTTGAGTCAATAAAGTGCTATGTTTAAAAATAAAATAACCACTCCAACAAATCATTTCCTATGACCGGTATTTTCCTGCAATAGGGTAAAAATACAAAGATCATACACACATAGTTAAGAAGGTAGAATGCAAATTTACAAGTAAATCTCAGAGAAAAGCAAGAGTTTGTAGAACAGTCCCGGTAGGGAGTAATTGAAAATATAACACAGTAAAAAAATATATATAGATTCAACTTATATGAGGCATGTGGAGTAGTAAAATTCATAGAGACAGAAAGGAGAATGCTGGTCACCAAGAGCTGGGAGAAGGAGTGAATGAAGAGTTAGTATTTAATGGCGACACAGTTTGCCCTGACCAGTGTGGCTCAGTGATTTATCCCATGAGGTTTAGTACAATAATAGTTCAATAAATACCTGATGAATTAATGAAAGAGCATCAGTCTGTGCACTGAAGGATTGTGGGTTTGACTCCCGGTCAAGGGCACATATCTGGGTTGTAAGTTCGACATGGACGGGAGGCAATCAATCAATGTGTCTCTCTCACATCAATCTCCGCCCCCCGCCACCGCCATCTTCCTTCCACTTTCTCTAAAAATTAATGGTAAAAATATACTCAAGTGAAGATTAACAAAAAAAATTTTTTTAAGTTTTGGGTTGAATGGTGGTGTTGGTTTCACAACCATGTGAATGTGCTCAATACCACAGAACTGTATACCTAAAAATAGTTAAAGTGGTAAATTTTGTTATGTATGTGTAATTGTTTACCACAATGTTTTTTTCCTTTGTTAATCCTCACCCAAGGATATTTTTCCATTGATTTTTAGGGAGAGTGGACAAGCAAGAGAAAGACAGAGAGAAACATCGATGTGAGAGAAATACATTGATTGGGTGCCTCCTGAAGGAGCACCGACCAGGGCTCAGGCCGGGGAGGAGCTTGCAACCAAGGTACATGCCCTTGACCAGAATCGAACCTGGGACCCTTTGTTCTATCCACTGAGCCGAACTGGCTAGGGCCCACAATTTTTTTTAAAGGAATATTTCAAACATTATTCAAGTATTTCTCATGGTCATTTGCAAACTACTTCAAGACTTTGGCAAATGACGTATCAGTTCCACTCCACTGAAAGACAAACTTCAGAAAAAAGAGCTCTCCCCTTGGCATTTTCCAGCTGGTTAACTGCAAGAATGTGAGCAGTGTAACCACTACAGAACAAGCAGCTCCAAGTACACGGTCTCCTGACAGCCAGCCCCAACATCACTCTCACAGACAGAACCCACATTCTGACTTCATTTTAGTGACCTATTTAAGAGCTGAGGGCCATGGGGCTTTACGGAAATGATGGTTTTGCCCAAACAACCGCAGTTTCCTCTTTCACCTTCAGCCTGTCTTGCTCACAGGGCAGATCACTGCCCTCACTATTTTAGCTCACCCTACACTTCAAGGAAGGGAGCAGAGGGAGGTAGAAATCCAACACTTAAATAGCACCTCCAGCATACCGGGCACGGCACACACTGAGAAACATCCTCATTTAAGTCTCACAAGAATGACATTTCTTTATCTCAAAAATGGGATCTTTTACCCATTTTACAGATGAATGAGATGGAGGCTTGCAAGTGAGGTCATTGGTACAAGGTCTTAGGACTCGTAAGAGGCACAACTGGGTTCTGAATCAGCTCTGTACTTCAGGACTTGTCCCTTACACCAAGATTCCGGCTTGGCATTCTCTCCTAACGTATCTTCCCAATGGGCCACCTTTTGCAACACACAGGAAGGAGGGCTCAAATTTCAATTCTTATTTATTTTTGTTGTTGTTAATCCTCACCTGAGGATATTTTTCCATTGATCTTTTAAAGAGAGTGGAAGAAAGAGGGAAAGGCAGAGAGACACATAGATTGGTTGCCTCCTGCATGCCCCCCTCCACCACCACCACCACCACCATCCCACCCCACCAAGGCCCAGGCTGGGGAGGAACCTGCAACCAAGGTACATGCTATTGGCTAGAACCGAACCTGGGACCCTTTGGTTACAGGCAAAACCAGCTAGGGCTCAACTCTTTTTGAGGAAAGTTTGAGCTTCTAATTTAAACATCCTAAGATAAAAGAAAGGGGGAGAACCCACCATAGCTTGCCATCAGTCATTAATCATAAACTTCCATAAAGTCCAGTGTCATCACGAAGAACTTAGCCGCATTATCAAAATACAGCCAAGATCTGAGAACATGATGTCAGCTATGATTTTGGACCTCGAGGAGAACTCTATCATGGTTTTTAAAACCACAATCCACAGCTGGAGAGGGAGGGGAGATGCAAGGTCCTGCCAGACCGCCTGGCCTCTGCCAGCCTGGTGCCTTTCCAATACATTTCCCCGGACCTGGCTGGGAATAGTTTGCATATTTGTCACTTAGATGCCGAGAGGATTATTTGTATTTTTCTCTTCTGACAGTCATGTGCTAACTGGTAGCCGTGGTGATGAAGGTGGTTACCTTTTGTAAATACCAACTTGGAAAGGGGACGTTGCTGAAAGCTGAGTCCCAGGGCTCAGAGGACCACACCAGCCACAAGCAGAGAGAGCTGCCCCTGTCCACCCAGGGGATGCGAAGACAGGACAGACTTTTAAAGAATATGGACTTGACAGTTCTTGGGACCAGGCCTGTTTATTTTGACCAAAGCTCCAACCAACTCCAGAATCCTCCCTGTGGGCCTATTATTACCTGCTGCACAGGTTCAAGCTGCAGGCGCTGACGCTGACGTGGGATTTGTTTTGGAAGCCCAACACCACCAGGAGGTGTGAAGAGACACTTCATCAACTGGTCCTGTCTGCTTACTTTCACAAACAACCCAAACACCAAGGAACCCCAGAACAGCACTATTTAAGGAGGTGAAAGGCAGACTGAATCACAGGCGGGTAAGCATCTCATGCATATGTTCAGAATTTTTAAAAACCTGTGCTGGGTTTACTAAAGCTGGAAAGGAAGACAGGAGTTGTTTCTTCTATTATCAATATTATCCAAGGGATATCTGACACAAGCATAATTTATAACAAGAGTTATACATCATCCTAAGGAAGCCCCAACCAGAACATGTAAGGGGGTTTTAATCTTTAAACATCAATTCAATTTTTAAGCATTTCTGTTCATGTGCTTTTAAGCCCACTTAACTCCAGCACCTTGCGGAAGTAGTTCATAAATAATAAAGCATGGCCACACAGCACAAGATGTCCGCGTGGGCGTGTCCAGCATTACCTTTCACGTAGGCCCAGACGGCTTACTTACTTTATCTCAGAAATCAGGGCCGGGCTCATTTTCCTAGTCCAAAGGGCAGAGAACAGAGAAGAAAGCCATAATCCCAATGTAGCAAGCTTATTTTTAAACCCATGTCTGACAAAACCCTGCAACCTATCAAAAATGATCCCTTCTATAAGCAAATAATGATTTTTACTTATAATTAAAGTTCAGTTCTTCAAAGTTTAATAGGATTTCTGAATACACAGGAAGTGACAGGAAACTTATGTAAACTATATTTTTAAGTAATAACAGGCATAGGATAAAAATTAAAATCATACAGAATGGTATAGAGCCCTGACCAGAGGTCAGCTGTTGGATTCCTGGTCAGGGCACATGCCCGGGTTGTATGCTCGCTCCCGAGTAGCAGGTGTGCAGGAGGCATCTGATGGATGTTTCTCCCTCTCCCTTCCTCTCTCGAAAATCAATAAAAACATATATTTTTTAAATGGTACAGAATGAAAACTTCAGTCTTTTACCCCTCCATGCTTCTCACGCAAGTGATAGTCTTGGGGCATAGACAAGCAAAAATGTGAAGCATCCACATAGCTGCCCTCCTGTTGGGGGATTAGGGTTGGGGTTTTTTTGGTCAAACAACAGATAAAAAAAAGAAAAATTCTTTCCAGTCTTCTAGATGTAAGATTAGGTCTAGGACCTAAGAGCAGTGGGGAATGTAAAAATAGAATGAGCCCTAACCGGTTTGGCTCAGCGGATAGAGCATCGGCCTGTGGACTCAAGGGTCCCAGGTTCGATTCCGGTCAAGGGCATGTACCTTGGATGCGGGCACATCCCCAGTAGGGGGCATGCAAGAGGCAGCTGATCGATGTTTCTAACTCTCTATCCCTCTCCCCTCCTCTCTATAAAAAATCAATAAAATATATTTTAAAAAAAAATAGAATGAACTAGGTACAGGAAGGAAATGAGGTGGAAGGCAGAACTCAGGATCTCCCCCGCCCCAACCCCACCCCAGGGCTGGGTTGAGGAGCTACTGCCTAGATCTGCATTGTCAAATCTCCTGGGCTTTGAAACAGTCATTCTGAGAACAGCTCATGCCATCCAACCATGCCCAATTCTCAGGGTTGATTTGCCTCAGAATGTACAGTTTCTCAGACACAGGGAAAGCGGATTCCAGGGGCCTTCCATGGGAATGCGGCAGGATGAGGGCAGTGTAGCTCCTGCTCTTGGGAGATGAGAAGTGCAAAGACTGGGGATTACACTTGTAAAAGACTGACTGGTATGTCTCAAAACTAATCTTCCTGCAGATAAAGCAAGCATGTTTTCCCTTCAAAACATTCCTGAGGGCAGGCACATGCAGAGAAATGGTGGCTCCAAAGATTCGGTTCAAATATTGTTTACATGCCAGGCACTGTTTACATGTTTACATGCCATACAAAACAAAGAGGCCAGATTCTGCCCTAAAAAGCTTACCCTCTGCAGGGAGGGGGGGAGAGAGGGGAAGACAGAGAGTGAGCTTAGGAACATTGTCACAAAGTGTT